ATGGATGGACTCAAATACAAAAACCATATCTTTAAAATAAGAATGGAAAGAATGGCAGGAGAAAAAAATTGGAAAAATGTGAGAAACAGTTGGAAATACGTAGAAAATGTGAAAGAAAAAAAAACAGGAAAAAAGGGGGTAGATAAATGAGGAAATAGGCAGAGAAAGAAATGTAAAAAAAAAAAAAAGAGGAAAGGCAACATGAAACACTGATGCACACAGCATCAATTAAACACTCTGAGACTGTATACTAGGAGAAAAGTGAAACAGAAGTATTTTTCCAACCTTCTCCAGAATAAACCAGACCAAGAAAAGGCATACATAGGCATAAATATTTCCACTTTTTCAAAGTCTGTGGTCTGACCAGAGGAGGTTATTGATCAATAAATAAACTAAAACATTTAGCAGCCACAACCCAGTTGCTTCTTATAAATTCCCAGTATAAAACCTCAAAAGCTGATGAATAATGATAAATAATTAAAAAGAGTAGTTACAGTGAATACATTTTAGCCCTTAAAGCAAAAACATTTAAGGATTTTTTTTCAGAATTTCTAACAATAAATAGTAAAATAGAAGTTTTTAACAGCACTTTTTCCTTCTTTCAATATTTCAAATAAAAATGCTTCAACCTGAATTTTTGAGCACACTTTGTAATATTGCTTAATAAAATAACAATTGTTTTATGATGAGCTTATAAGTTAAAATGCAGTACTGGATGATATTCATTTGTTTAGAACTCAAAATTTTGGCAGGCAAGAGTAGATAATGATCGTAATGTATTTAGCAGAAAATACAGGGTAAGTTATTCCTGGTATAGACTCTCTTCCACTGTTGCAGATGCAGCCATCGAACTCAACTAACAAGCCTCTTTCTCTCTTTGCTTCCCTCTCCACCTCTGACAGCCCAACAAAGGCCAGCCGCTTCATGTGGAGGCCAGACAAAGACACAAAACCCGGGCAGGGGCGCTCGCTCAGGAAGAGGACATGAACAGAATAGATGGAGAAAATGAAGCAGAAAAGAGCCCAGGATGAGGATATATGGTTTGAGAGCCGAGATAACAAAGTACAGCTGACCACAGGAGGGCCCAAAGTTACAAAGAGATAAAACTCAGACTGACATTTATTCCTCTCGCTGTATTTATGGAGAACTTTAGTAAAAATCTGTTTTGTTCGATTTATGTTGCTAGCGCCAAAATTAACTACGGCCAGCATAATTAAAAAGAGTCATGGAAACCAATTTCTTCTCCCTCAAGTAGGATTCTTTGCCAACTTTAGCTGCTAATTTACCATACAGTCGTTGAGTATTTCAAAGTTATTGCCTTCATAAAACAGGTTTCTGTGACCGTAAGGGTTTTATTTTCATTATTAGGACATACAGTGCAATAAAAACATATTAACCTTTTTAACAGTTCCTTCTCGCTCTCTTAACAAACTTCAGTATTTTCTAAATCTAAATACTGTACCTCAATAAATAATAAGTTGCTTATTTGATTAGGATACAAACAAGAAATATATTAGTTATGAAAAATTAAAAACCAGATATCTAAGGACATCCAGGACCTTATGAATTAACAGTTTTTTACCACGTTTTGTTGGTTTGATCTCAAAAATGAGTTTTATTTCACCAGACACATTTAACAACTGTTGAAAATGAAAAAAAAGTCTCAATAAACCTGATGAAAAGCAAAAAAGCGAAAAGTCCACCTAGGAGTGTAGATGTATTAAGTCTGCATATGTTACATCTGCCATACAACTACTGTACGCAGTAATAAAAATATAGAAAAATTAATAATGTTATTCATTAGAAAATCCTAAAGTTTAATGCCTGACCATCAGAAAGAGAACTTCAAGTTAAGCCTATTTGGATAAATCACCAAACGCCATTTACCCAACGCTACGCCATAGAAAGCGGTGCATCATCTCTAGAGACCGAAACATTTTACAGCAGCTCCGTGGGGTGAGGAGAAATGACAAGCTGTTTGCTGAGATTGACTTTTGAATACGAAGCAAAGAACTCTTAACTGAGGATTGGAGGTGGAGCTTCAAGCAACACCTACAGCCGTCAGTGAACATAACAGGTTTCATGCCGAGTTTACTTAAAAATTAATAGTAAAGACTAGAGCTGGGTAAAAAAATCGATTTAATAGATTTTAAATCGATTCCTTTACATTTTTGCAAAATCGATGTCTAGGGAATGAGATCGATCAGTACATGACGTTCACATTCAAATGAGCAGGAAAGATGCACTCAAGATGACTTCAAGCCAGACAGCTGCAAATATAGCCAATAAGTTGACTGAAGACATTAATAAATGGGGGCTGACCAGCAAACACCCTGTAGTTGTTAAAGACAACGCTGCAAATATGGTTTGTGCAGTGAAGATAATGCAGCTCATGAATGTCTGATTAAGTGAGGCTTCACTTTTACACTTTCACAAGTTTGCACTTATGAGACAGTTTTGTTCACATCTCACGTTTAAACTATCTGATTTACAAGGTTGCACTTTGTGTTTAATATGACAGGAAAAAATAAAATACATGAGTATTTTGAAACACAGTTGAACCACTTTCATCATTGCAAAAACATTGAATCAAAATTAATCGATTTAGAACTTTATTAATCAAAATCGAATCGATTCAGGACTTTGGCAAAGTAAAGACGCAATAGGGTCTGTTTAGATTGGAAATGCTTCAAATCAAAATATAAAACACTTCTACATGGAAAAAAAGAAAATTAAGAAGAGGACTACATAAACATAACAGTCATTTCCTACTTTGCGTGCCCCGGCTGATGGGCTAGGGAAAAGTGGGGCCTGTTTGAGAGGACCTGGGGACATATGTTACTGTCTGAGCCTTCCGTCAGACCAAGCTGCCCCCTCCTTCTGGTGGAGGGGGAGATATTGGGTGTGTAGGGTCGTAGGGGTGAGGTCTGCATCTCCTGCTCTTCCACAGGATTTCCCATCTGTTTGAGGGGGCTAGCAACAGTTTGACAACACAGGGGCTTAACCTCTGCAGTCTGTACATGAGAGGCCGTGTATTCCTAACAGCTGCTAGGCACAGCTTACAACAGCAGGTGGATGGATACCATTAGACGCTTTTGTTTACTTCCAAGAATCTAGTTAAAGCTTTCTAGTCCGTAATTATGCCTTTTGCTGTTGAGTGGCTTCGCCCTGAAAGGTGCTCTTTCAGACAGCATAATGATGTAAATTTAGGGAGCAGCGCTTAAGAGTCTTGTTCATGTAGTTATATAAGAACGATTTAACTTGCAATTTAGACAACATCTTACTATTTATCTTTGCAAAGTGCTCTTAGAATGGCATAAAAACTGTTTTGTGAAGTGCTTAGTTGATATAAACACACCCGATATCCTGTAATGCAGGATGTTGCGACAGCAATTGTTGCTCTCACCTGGCTTCAATTTGCGGAAAGAGGTTTTGCCATCGCTGATTGACTTCTTGTAGCGACCCACAGACCTGGGTCTGCTTGGCCTCGTCGCTGGCTAACAGCAGCTGTTCTCCCAACTGCTTCAGGTGGCTCTTGTTCTCACTGAACAAGTTAATTTCCTCCATACAATCCTGCCAACAGATGACAAACACTTAGCTACATAAAGGTCACGTTGTTAGGTTTACAATAAGTACACTTTACAACACAAACATACTGTATTTTCCTGATTGAAACTTTAAATCTTAGAGACGCTTTAGGTAGTTAGCAACCTGGAACCATTTTGAATATTGTTACATAGAAAGGTCAACATTAAACCAAAAAGGGCTGAAACAATTAACTGGAATAATTGATAATTGAAATAATTGTCAACTAATTTAGTTATTAATTAATCGTAACTGGAGTGTAGAGACTCTATAATATGCTTTTAGCTGACAGAGCAACCCACTTAGAGCAAGAATTCTACCAAAATTGGAAAAAAAAAATATTAACATTTTGGATTTAAGATAAAATAATGTTTTCATCTGTCAATATGCTCTATCCAGAACTCCTCAAGTGGAACAGTTTTAGTTTCACCTGGTTTAAAAAAAAAAAAAAAAAAAAATCTCCTTTAAGGAACCTTTGGCTTTCCGATTAACAATCAATTCATTGAAAAAATAATTGACAGATTAATTGATTTGCAAAGTTTTCGTTAGCTGCAGCCCTAAAACCAGTTGTAGATTGGAAGGAAAGGAATACGAGATTATTAAGGGTAAAAATCTGAGAATGGTGTTCTGTTTTTGCTTTAGCCTCCAAGTCAACAGTTGACAACCAAATTGACTTTGCATCCCCTCCTTTTCAATGCATTTACTACTGTAGTTTCTTTTGGTTTATGTCTGTGAATTAAGAAAATAAAAATGTTGAATCTATTGCTTTATTTTTTTAGGTCTTGCCTTAAATTCTTATTTGGATTTAGTTAGGACTTAAACTGGGCTACAGTAATTCCACCTCATTTAAAGAGATGCAAAATACCATTATTAACCTGCTGATCAAATGAGCTGCTGATGATTGGAGCAAAGTAGACAAACGCATTTCATTCACTAAAAAGGAAAACTACGTTTAATTAAAGTATAACACAAAATGATTAAGTGTTATTAAGCATTTGTTGAAGTATTTTGTATGTTAGCTTAGGTTCTCTCAGGTTAAAATTCTCAATTTATTTAATGTTATTGAAAAAAGTGAAAATTATATATCACATTTAGGGCTCATCATACTTTAATGGGGATGGGGGCATGACACACATGTAAGCTAAAAAAAACACAATTTAAATTTGACTTGTTAGGTAGTGTTTAAAACAAAAACAGCCTTTATGCTAAAATTTTAATGTAATATTACTTTCAAACTTGCAGCTATTTTGTTGTGAACTTCAGAAATACACCACATTAAATGACTACTAGAGATCTCATTTGGTGAAAATGGTATAATAGTGCTATGAACTCGTACCTTTTTCAGTTTCTCCACCATTTCCTCTATGCACAGATCTGCACTGTGGCACACCTTGTTCTCCATCTGCATCAGCCAATCACAGAACTCTTTGTTCTTGTCATTAAAAATGGTCCAGGCATCAAGGCGGTCAGCGATTTCCTGTCTGCGTAAGGACACCTGGGAGGGGGTGAAGTAATAACAGACATTTAGTGTTTATTGTCATTTATGTTTGCATGATAGCAGATCAGTAATCTCCGTCCGCCTATACAGCCTTCTTTTAAATCAAAAAGCTCAATATGAATGTATAAGAAAGATCCATATTGTGATCAGCCTTTAAATATGGTCAGGATGGATGAATGGCAGCAAAAAGAAAACATAATAAAATGTTTATTCCTAACCATAAATTAACGGGTATTCAGATCCAACTACCACAACTGCAAACAAATTATAGAAAGTTGAAGAAAACTAAACAAAAAGGAGAGATTCCAAAGACCTGGATGAAACAGGGTCATTTGCTGTGATGCTGCCTGGTATGCATTCAGGACACAAACTGACCCAAATATAATGCGTAAACAAAGCCTTGATCCGATGCATGTAAAAGATATTACCCAATAACTCATTAACTACATAACTTTGTTTGTTAAAAATCCCTAAAAAGCGAAACAATAGTAAAGAAATATAATATCAAATGTGTTTATTTACAACTTTGACATTTATATATTAAAATAATAAACTGGGTTGAGAGAAACCCTTAGAAGACTGCAGCTATTTGTCCAAATTAACAAGGTCTATTCTTCTAATGAGACCCTAATGCTGCCAGAACACCCTATTAAAAACCAAGGGGAGGGGGGGGATGATCTTTCAGCTTATCAAGCCAGTGATTAGAGCTGCTCCATTTTACTGATCACCAACATTTATTCTATTAAACTCAGCCCTGCTTTGGTATTAATGCACAGACACAGATGGCCGGTCTGCACTGTGAAGAATTGGGGATGTATTGTGAGCTGCGGTCAGCCTGTCAGGACTATATGCTGCTGCAGGAACAATAGAGCAGGTCCCTGAATCTCTCCTCAGGCACCCAGACCATCTGCTCATAAAAACCTAACCCCCCCAAATCCACAACCTGTTTGCTGTGAAGTGGAATCTGTAGGTGTTATTTGAGAAATGCTTTCAATTGTTGTAAGTTTTAATAAGCTGATAAATTATTAAGTAATTAAGAAGAGCGCCTTTGACAAACAAAGCTTAACAGTTCTGTGAACCAAAAAAAGGAAACTATACTTCATGTTTTAAGTAAGAATCAAACAAACAAAAATAGATAAATAAAAACACACAAATCAAGTCATTATCCAGCAGAATACACACATAAAAATATATTTGGTTGCTGTGGACACGTTTCTGCATGTGAGTAAGTCTTGCCAACCCAAGAGCAGGTGCAAGCAGTTTAGCTAAGTGGGAGTCCAATTAGTACCACTATGAATTATCTTATAAAGGCCTTATTACATGCAAAAAAGACCAAAACTTGGCAGAAAGTAAGCTAAGGTTCCAACTGGTGTTCAAGGCAAAAGTCTTAACTGAAGGAATCCAAGCCTGTGTAGATTTATCAGCAACATTATAATCACAGGATTAACAGGCAGGAATGATGGACAGCCTGAATAAGGGACTAAATTATCTTCATGCTGACTCAATAAAGAAGATTTGTACTATCAATTAAAGATAAAATGAACCCTGTAAAAGCTGGTAAAATTTTAGTATTTCTGCTCTTTCATTTCCCTCCAACAATCTGCACAAGGCGTCTCTTTTATCAAACAAATCAGTCTGACTGGTGTGTGTGTGTGTGTGCAAGTGTGTGTTTGGGTTTTCAGGGCTTTGTGCTGCTGGATGCCATCACGAAACCACAAACTTTTCCCTCCACAAACTTCTCCCTCCACCCGTGACTCTCTTTCTCGTTTTAACTACAAGGTTTTGGTAAAAACTTTCAGTTTAGTTCTCACCTTCAAGCACAGCTCTTCCCACTGAGTGTGGAGCAGTTCCAGCTGTTGCTCCAGCAGAGCAGAGTCACTGGCGGCAACATACTGGGACAGGTCCGTCTTCATGGTGGCCAGCTCCCTCAGTCCGCCCTCCAAATGTTGCAGAAGGAGCTCAGCCTCCTGCATAACACACAAAAGCAGGCAGCACAGTCAGCAGACAGCCATGTATGAGTTCCAAGCTGCTTTACCTCTAGCTGGGCTTTGCCCTGACCATCCAGATTAAAGGGCTGTGGACGGGACAGGGGGAGGGTAGAAGGGGTAAAAAAGGGGGGAGGGGAGTGAAAGCATCAGTGCATTAAATAAGGGGAAGGGGGGTTAACTGAAAGTGGGGAGAGCAACTGGTGGGGAGCTCCCAGCAAACTTATTTAAAAGCTCTAAAAAATACAAACTTCATGTCATGATCTGGCCTGTTTGCTCTCCCTTCATTAGTCATTCCTTTCACCTGTCATTTTTCCCTCCCTGCCTCATTATAATTTATTCCTCTCACCTGTTTCCTCTAGTTTATATTCAGTTCAACCTGAGCATTCAGCTCCAGATCATTGCTTGTCTTTCTGTCAGTCTTTCTGCTAAGTTTTATTTGGTTCATGTCCTGGATCCTAGCTGCCAGTGGAAAGAGGGTTTTAGTGTTTGTCTCGTCTCCTGATTGTCCACTGTTCCTCCCCCGCGGAGTCCTCTGGGATTTTGGCTCATTATGGGGGGAGGTTCAGTTTTTATCAAAGTAAGCCTGGCTCCAGGGAGGAGACCAGTTTAAAGTCCTGCTTCAAGTTCCGGTTCCTACGTCCTGTCTCGGCTACCCTCTTCCACTGTGCCTGACTGTCTCGCCTTGAATACTGGGTCCATCTGTCCTCGTTTCTTGACACAAACTAACACATTTTTATGGGATACATGGTTAGGAAACTAAAAAAGGAAAAATTTAAATATACAGTCTAGAAATTTAGTAACAGGTAACTGGAGAACTGATAAGAATTTATTTAGTAAATTCTGTTGCTTTTCAACAGAAACCCATCTTTAAATTGGGGCATTCCAACATCCTGATAAAATGCCTCGTTCATAAAACACTATAACTGTTCACTAATGGTTCATTTAATTTGTTTTTCCAAATTAAGAGAGGTTTGATGTTACACCACATTATGCTTGTAGCGACACTAGAGAGGAAAAACTCCATTTTAACAGGAAGAAACCTCCAGGTGAACCAGGCTCAGTGTGAGCAGCCACCGGCTCAGGCAGACTGGGGTTCAAGGAGACAGAAGCAGACATAGAAAAAGAAGTCAACTGTCAACCAGCTCCACAGGCGGACCCGTTTATTCTTTTCTGTGAAATTAGGAGTGATGTACTGTCTCCACACAGTTAGGTACAGTATGTAAAGTATATACAAATGTAGTATGATCAATTGTTTATACATTCTAGGAATCCAATTTAGTGTTTAACCTGACTGGTGTTGTTTCTAACAGTCTGTTTAAGCATAGTGCTCTACCATTTACTCACAGCACCAAAAAGTCAGCCGTTTGCTAATTTGAATCACCTGGACCTGTGCTTCTTCCTTGGAGTCTTCTGGCCCTTCAGCAAGCAGATGGCTCACCTTGTCCAGTCCAGACAAGATGTTGCTTGTTTCTTTCTGACTCCGAGACCACATCTATGAGGCAGAAGATTGGAAAAAAATGTTGTCAATTAATTGGTAAATGTTTCCCCTTAGCTTTTACCTCACATATTTCAACATAGCTGTTTGATAGAATAAAACCACAATGCTGGGCGAGAAAGTTTTTAAGGTTTGTTAATTTTTCATTTAATTTTTCTGGATTAAAATACAAAGAGCACTTCAAATATTTCATGAGCCATATGTAAATATATCTGTTGGTCTGAATAGAAACAGTACCAGAGGCCTTTAAAAATACAGCAGTTTTTCTTTCTTAGATTGCTGCTTTAATGTGTTACTGAGGAGGATTTCCCTTTGGATCACCTTAAAGTGGTAAGAACAGCCTGAATAACCAACGACACAATGTCCTGCAGATAAGCGGGTCAAATTATTCACAAATGATCAAGATTTGACCAAATGTCCAAAAGAGTAAGCTTTGTTTCCTTGTGAAACTAGGCAAGCCTCTGCAGCTTAGTTTTCTACAAAGAAAGGGGATTTTCTGTTTAAAGATTAATGGTGATCAGGATCTAGCAGCATAAAGCTGCATAGCTGTGGTGGAAAGACACTGGTTAGCGATTCAGAATGTGGATCATGGAAAGATTTGGCAGGAAATCAGGGCTCAGCAGCAAACCAGCTACTGTGTGTGTGTGTGTGTCTGTTTGGATAGCTTCTTGTCCTGGATTGGGGTCACAACATACCAACACACTTTACTGCACTGATAAAAAGCATGCTTTATACTTTTAGATTTTGTTTTCCTAAAGCTGCAACCTAAAAGTCAAATCCTTTTCGAAGTAGAGAAATTGTCACATTTTCTTTGGATCCTATATAAACGTACAGTCACTACCAGGTCATAGAGAGTTAGATGGTAACATAAATAAGAGGCATTAAAAAAAAAAGCTTATTGCATTTTTTTCTACAAATCAGGTACTTTTTTATTTCATATCATCTTGAAATTTTCTCATTTCTACCTTAGTACAACTATATTGATCAATAACTGCACAGTATTTGCTCTTTTTTGTATTTTATTCTGCTGTACAGGTTATCTTTTTAGCTGTTATTTCCATACGATCTAAGTCTTGTGTCTACTACGTGTTTGTGGCTCTGTCAGACCCTAATTTACTCACTGTAGAACAATAAAGGTTTCCATTCTTTTCTATTTGCTTAGAGCGACGAAGCTGCCCTGTTCTTTCATTTTTTCAGCTTTCAATCTGTCTGTGAAATTAATAGATTTGGAAAAGTTGGTTCCTTCTTATTAAGAAAATAAAGGCCTACAACAACCTTATGGAGGCTGAAGTTACTGTAACAGCAATGGCTATAAAAAAAAAAAGGGGGTATAAAAGGGTTATTAAAGAATCCCTCATGGGATGAACAGCAGGTCTTATATCTTCTTAAAGATAAAAGAAGAAAAATCAAAATTTTGCTTATATCAGTTTGTTTTGCTCTTGCATGTGTGGCGTTCGCTCTGGGTACTCTGGGTTCCTGCCACCGTACAGTAAGCACAACAGTAAAACTGTGATTGTATTTTCTTAAGAGACGTAGGAATCCCTCACAATGCATATGAGAACATGGGAAAGGAACAATCCTTTTAAACGGGAACACTGTCTGGCAATAGTCACAATAACAATCCAACATAACTTTTGCTTATTAAACATCAAATAGGAAAATTTAACAAGCTAAAAAAGACATATCTAGGAGGGCTACCTGTACGGTGTTATTAATCAGATCTCTGTTCTTTCTTTGGTGGGAGGCGGTTCGCTCCCAGGCCTTCTGTAGATCCTGAAGCTCTGACTGCAGCTGATTCTGACTTTCTGACTCTGTAACGATTTCACACAAACAGTTCCCAGCTTCCACAGTCTGGGTGTACACAGAGGAGTGCAGACCTAGAGAGTCGTCAATAAGCTTCAGAAAAAAGAGAACAGAAAATGTGTTATTAAGATATTAGATTATTTAAATGATAGACCTGATGTTTGGCCGTGCAAACCCACCGGGTGAACATTTTGATAGAAGTGCAGCTGCTGCACTGTGTGAAGACATGGTCCTGTAGGGGGCAGAATAGAGTCCACCTCTCTGAATAGCTTCTTTAGCTGTTTAAAACCATGTTGGTATTTTCTCCACAACTTCAGATGCTCCTTAGTCAGACACCAGTTATCTGCAGCTAGAGCCACAGAACTGGACCAGCTCCTCCTTAAACAGGCCGCTTCACGCATAAGTTCAGACCTGAACATGGAGTAATAAAAAAAATAAATAAAGTTACTTTATTTTATCTGGAGAAAACCTAAAGTTAACACAAATGCATACATTTACTGAATTCATAATATAACAGTCATACGGGTGGATGTTTTTTACGGTAGAGGTAAAATAAACAGGCTTCTCTTAAACTCATGGCAAAACATGTTCAGAAAATTAAATAAAGGCTAATTAGAAACAAGCAGATTATACATTTCTAAAAAAAACTATTGTACATTATGCTGCTGCTATCCTGACTAACAAACTAAAACAACTGATTGGTGAGATTACAGTAAAAACATAAAGAAGAAGAATTTATTTACAGAGCGTTGATGAATCCCGAAAAATTTAAAGAAAATTATTCACTTCTCATTGACTGAAATTAGTACTTAAACTCAGACCAATAAAACTGGGATTCTGGCTTCCATACACAATTTTTATGCCTATTTGGCAAACAGAGCTGTTAATCAATCAGTTTAATGAAATCAAGTTTTCCAATCATTTTTATGACCTAATTAAGCCATGGGGGAAACTGCTGTGGTTTCTGAATCAGTGTCATGCTCCACTTGTGACAGGGATTTAGAAGAAATACTCTACAAACATCAGAGTTGAACACTATAAATTGGTCAGGGAGGAGTATTCCTACATCATGATGTCTGAAAACATATCAAGGCAACAAAAAAGTAGCTACTGAAAAGACTAGTCAAAGTTATGGAGTGGATAAATCAATATCAAGACCCCAGAATATGAGTTAAACACATAGAGGGGCCAAAAACTTTGAATTACCAAAGCTAATAATGGCTTCTCCATGGATGCCAATTCAACTTTCTTTAAGTATTTTCATAATTGTGGTTGATGTTCCATCTTTAAGGCTTAGATAAAATGGAAAGTTTTCTTTTTATAGTTGGAGCAAACCTACAAAATGAGCAGAGAAATCATTTCTCTTTTGAAAAGTCATATAATTGAATCGTTTCATTAATGCACTTACAAAGCACTTACTTACTGTACTAATTTCAAAGTCCTGGATATGCTTTAATGATGCATTCAACAAAGTTTTCTAATACCCTTGAAAATATTCTGCATTATTCACCTTTTTTCTCCAGTTTCAGTTTCTGTGGCCTTGACTGCATCACAGAGAAGACCTTGAAGGAGCTGATGCCCATTTATGACCTCAGCCTGAAGATTCTGTGGGAGTAAATTGTTACACCAGGATAAAGAACATACCAACATTATCTCATTATTACACTGTGAAAAGGCACGTTATTGTTAATCACTGTCACTATTCCAATTAAAGCCAGTCAACTGAACAAGATGAAATAATTTATTAAGATATGTTCTACCTGATGGACAATCAGTATCTGTTTAAGGTTTGAGTAACTCAGAGATTTTCTGCATGCTGATTCTCGCTCCAAGTTCTCCTGGATACGCTTCAGTTTTTCCCTCTTTTCTTGAAAGTCACGGGTGCTGTGAGGCTTGCCTTGCAAGGTTCTACGAAAAAAAACAAAAACATAAACTTTAGACATAAAAAGGTCACCTTTCCATGGAACAAGATAGCAATGTCAGTTGTTATGCAGATAATTCAATCTGAAAAACACACAAAGAGAAAAGACAATTATGCAAAATTTATTGATACAATTACTTTTTATTTGGCGCTCAGACCTCGGCAGGAAACATAGCGCTTAGTTTTGATAGATATGCATGAACAGGAGCAAAGAATAGGGCTGTTCCCCCCAGGCCTGAAACTGGTGATGGAGCGGAGATAGATGAAGTTGGTCAGTCTGTAGACTGCTGGTTAGCGAGACGGTATGCAGAGCTTCATGGGGAGATCCAGTGGATTGCGTGGGTTGATACTAGAGCTTCACTCGGGGACCTGGAAGATGGAAGTCCAGTTGGATAACACAGGTTGAGAGAACCTTTCCATGATGAGCAAGCATGGAGGGACAGTGGAGAGGAAAAACTCCCCGTTGGGAAGAAACCTCTGGAAGAACCAGGCTCAACATGGCGGTCTTCTGCTGAACCGGTTAAGATGAGACAGGGATTGCAGTAAGAGTTTGGTAAGAATGACACTCTGATGAAGCTTTAGCTACGATGGATGAGGAGGGGCTGGAGGTGTGTTGAAACGGTGTGATCTGAATGAAGTCAAATGGCACATCTGCCACCTGCGCACAGGAGCAGACAGGTGCGTATCGGAGGCCTTTTAAGATGAACTTTGGATGCCGATTGGCTTTCGTGGAGGTGTGGCTCAAAGCTGATTGGCTGTGTCGCAGGTGGATGAAGGAAAGCAATTCATTTCTTCAGTTGAACCTCCACCTAGGCTCCATTACTCGGGTGTATTTATATGTAAAGCCTGAAAAACTAAATAACCAAGACTACAGGCAAGTTTTTAAATCCAGAGGAGAAAATATTTGTCATAATTGGCCACAGGGTGTAATGAAAAAGTTTATAATACATCATGTGGCATCAATCTGGCCTCTGGCACTTTTTCAAAAAAATACATTACATTAGAGCAACATACTTTTTATTAAGGACTAAACTTCTCCTTTCAGTATTATGGCATAATATAACGGCATAATATAACCCATACAATTGAATATTGTTCTACTTCTAGGTCATGCACAATGCAGCCTGCAGTATATCTTTTTCTTTTCAGGGACTTTCTTTAGAGATTCAGACTGAGAAAAAAAAATAGACAGGATCTTTTTTTCATCTAACAAATAAAAACATATGAAATCATTATATCAACAGTTTCTACTTCAAACCCAAAATATATTTTTTTATGATTAACTATTAGGAGAACATGTTGTTTTTTGAACTTTTTCAACAAAATTTAATCTTTTTTGCTGATGGCTACACACATCAGACCAACACCAGCCTGCAGTTGCAAACACCTGTTTTGGGTAAATATGGTGAACTTTGAGCTGCGACAGCTTAAATGATGTGTGCACAAAAGCCCCAGCCTCGAGAACCACTGGAGCGAGTTAGGGTAAGCGTTTCAATGCCACAGAGAAATGAGCAGACAAGGTAATCCACCTGAATAGACTCACTGTTAGCTAGATAATCAGAAACCAGATGAAGAGATGAGAAAAAGGTCCTGCAGCTCTTAGAGTTTTAAATGGCTGACTGAACTCAAAGTTCATTCTTTATTGTATCCAAATTCATCCTAAACTCTTTAACAGATCAGATTAAGCTTTTTGTTGTCTGAATGTTCTTGTTTTTGTTAGTGTGGTTTATTTCTTAGGATTTGCTGTTTTGTGTTTTGTAAGCACATGTATAGATTGATTTTAATTAAGTCTTTGACCTCGGATGCAACAAAAGCAGTTACAGAACTAAAAAAGCTGAACAGCTTATCTTTCCATGGGAACTGAATTGAAAGCTTAGATTCTTAAATTACCAGTAAAATATATCAGACACATTTAGCCATTAATATATAAATCTACGCTAGAAAATGGGTCATTTATTACTGCTTTGTGTTTTCATTTGTCAGGAAGCTTACTTACGTAGATCAGAAAATATGTTTTCCCGTAGAGCACTATGAATTAGCCTGTGTAGGAACTGATCTTTGCCATTTTAACAGTAAGATGATAAAAACATTTAAAAAAGTAAACAAAACATTAAGGTGAGATGCATACTTTTACATCTTGCATAGTGTGGTGGTAATTTGTCAGTTTTGTAAACTTGAATTCTACTTAGAAAACGATGGTATCGGATCCAACTTTCTCACTTGTTTTCATCTGTTGCCTGGGTAAAGGTTTCCATCCACTGCCTGCTGATTGGCTGAACTCTCTCCATCTCCTCGTCGATGTTGATGTTGCCACTCGTCTCTCTAACGTCTTCTAGCGATGGAATGGTATTGCTAAGTTTTAAAAGAGCCTGTTGGTAATTTAAGACAAAGTATAAAGGTATGAAGGAGATTTTCATTTAGGTTAAACTACACCTTGAAATAGAAATAATCATGTAGATGAGAATCAAATAGTTCATAAAACCTGTAGAGGATCTGTATCATACAAGCCAAGGGTCTCTAGTTCCAAATCCTCCTGCAAATGGAAAAGAAATATATTCAATTTTATTTCAATAGCTGATTTCAAAATGTTATGTTCATTGTAGAAAATATTTTGGTACGGTTAAAAATTCAAAATATATCTAACCTCAAGATTTTGTCTTTTTCCTGATATTGCCTGGTTCAGCAGAAGGATATCACGGGTCAGTAATCTAGCCTCTGATTTAATTAAACTAGCAGATAACGGTTCAAGTCGTCCAAGAAGACCTTTGGAGGCTGCCACTACATCTCCCGCATTGTTCTGTAGCTCTTCAGCAGCATCCTGCAGCCTCTAGATAATTAAAGGAAGAGTTGGTTAAGAAATCAGCATATTGGTCTTTTTAATTTTTTTTATTTCCAATTATTTCATTAAAATACATGGATATTTTAATCTGAAGAAACACAGAAATTTTTCTTCTGAAATAGATCACTATAAGGTTTTCAAAAATGTGCCTCAATTGTATTTGGGAAGAAAAAGGAACCAAAGAGAAAAATCATAAATGTAAGCCCAAAAACATTTTCCTTTGGTCAAATGAACAAAACAAAACGTCATCTGCTTTACGCAACAGAGAAGAGAGGACGTCGGGTGTACCAACTGGAAGCGGAACACCACTGATATTTCTCATCAAAAGCACATGCTACCTCATCCTTCCAAGAATAGGAGAGTAGATATTGAGAAAAACATTTAATTAAATTGTGCACCCAATGCTTGGACCCCCTGAACATCCACCTGGAACAGATGAGTCAAGCAGGGAATCTAATGGTTTTGAAAAAAAATAATAATGCATTTGGGAGATGAAAAAAAGGGTTGTGAACCTGTTCAAATTTCGGCACTTGTTTTTTAGTCTATGCTTTCAGTGCTTAATAGTGACATTGTATATTTTCTCTCCAGCTTTAAAGCAGATGGAAAAGATTAACAAAAAATAATTAGTATTATGAGAAAATTCAGTACTTATTATGTGTTAACTAGCTTATGGCAATGATTGTACGTAAATCATAGATATTTTACAACAATTTTAATTGAAAGACTAAATCCCTCCTCCATACAGTATTAGCCATTCAAAAATTCCCCACTTTCCTTGATAGGCACTTGGCTGGTCCTTGACTGGTCTCCTACAATTCCTTTTTAAACATCAATCTTTGTACTAAAATATATAGGGTGGAGTCAGAGTAAATAAATATGCATGCCTAGTGGCTGGAAGTTGAACTGGGCATCCATTCGGCTGGCATTTCAATGGCTGCTACTATATATACAGTAAACCTAATGATCATATTCCTCATTCTAACCTTCAGTGAGCAAACTGATGCTTCTGCATCATTTCCAGGTGAAGAACTTGTCTCCCATTCATTCCACAGGTGTTGCCGGCGTCCAAAAATGCTCTGAGAAAGCTTAGCATAATCATGCCAAAGGGAGATGGTCTGTCTAATCTTTTTCTGCTCATCTCTTATCTCTTGGAGAATGTCCTTCGATCTGATTTGACAAACACAAAAGTACTTTTTTTACATATTATAATTTTGTTATGTTAGTTAGTGTTTAAGCAAAATGTTAATAGTAGAGAAATAAGAGTGAGGGACATTGTAACTTATAGAAAAACAAGAGAAAAACAAAGGGAACAGAATGGTTGGATGGTCACATCTGAGATTTAACAAACTTTCTGCTGGATGGAATTTTAAATTATGCTTATTAAACATAATTAATTTGAGTAAATTAAACTTATTTGCGTATACTGAAATAGCCTTTGTATGTGAACCATAACTTAGCTTCACAAACCCTTTTCGCAGCTCCTCTACTTGATCACTAAGTGGCTGCGCTGATCCATCAGGGAGAGTTTCCACAAGCCCCTTGTAGGATTTGTCTGCAGCCGTCCAAAATTGCTCTCCCTCTGCCTCCACCTTCACCTGGAGGTCCTGTGCGAAATGAAAAAAAAACCTTTCATTTCATGTTTGCTCTCTAGAAGTACATTTACTTCCCTAAAATGCAAGAACATAGACTGAAAGAGGTTGACAGCTGGAAGTCTGTCAGTGCCCACACTCTCACTAAAGCTGTCAAGGTTGGATTCAGAGGCTTTTAACCACAGTTACAGCTTGCTGTTCTACAAAAAACTTTTAAGTTTTATTATGGCCTCTTTAGTTGTATGCTTCATGCTGCTCAGTCTGTTAGAATTTAGATTAACTTGTTTTAAGGTAATAGTTAAACTACTGTAAAGGATACAGATTGTAACATACATTTGTGCTTGTTTTTGTCACTTTCATCTTATTCTGATAGATAGGCCTTTCTAACCTCAAGGATTCCTAAGTATCCTTCAGCCTGCTGCAGGGAGAAGAGTGGTGCCTGCTGCTGCTGCAGGGCACAGCACGCCCTAGTGGTATACAAGGCAACATCCCCCAGAGCTCTGTGGAAACATGTCCACTTCTCCACGGTTTCTTCAAGAACTGGTTTGATATCTTCCATCTGAAAAAAAAAGCCAAAGGCAAAGTGGAAAATAAAATGCAATTCCAGTTTGGTGAATGTATATAAGCTACTATAATATTCGAACAATATCCTTCACATGTTTTCTTTCAAGTTATTTTACAATCCTAACATGAGATAAAGAGACCAGAATATAAGACATTAAAATGTAAATATAGCTCATTAGTTAGTTTTTTTTTAAGGGGGGCAATAGGACAGAATAAAAAAAAATGCAATTATATTTGGATGGTTCAGGAAATAGTATTAAACAAATTAATTATATATAGGATGGATGGATGGATGGAAGGAAGCTTGAAACCTTTTAATTTCAGCAGGGTTTAAACTCTATGTTTTTACCTGTTGATAAAGATCAATACAAGTCCTTCTCACACTCTCTGCTTGATCACAGAAGATCCCATCACACAGGAGCTTTTTTTCCTTCTCATAATGTATTTGTACTGTTTTCAGTTCCTGCAGAGCTGCAGAAACCTCCTTGATTCTGCTAAGATCAGCCTAGAAGATAAATGGCCAACTCAGATTAGAGAAGGAGGCTCTGCAGAAAGCCCTTCACAAAATGCATACATTCATCTGGATGATTCCCATCCTCATACCTCCAACTCTACAACCGCATAGCGAGCCAAAGTTTGACCAGTGGACTGTTTCCACTGATTCATTCTACTTTTCTGCTGTTCCGTCCAGCTGTGCAGTCTCTGCAGATGTCTTTCTCGTTCTGCACAAGCGTGATGGATGTGTTCTAGTTCGTGAATCTGGGGAAGTACAGAGATGTGTAGCCAATTTATGTAAAGAGAAAATCACATCAAAAATCACGGGGAAAAAATCTACTTCAGATAGAAATACAGGATGTTCTAGGTTTGTATTTCTGGCATGGTTTCATTCATTATCTAACATTTATCTATGATGTGATAAATCAAATCTAAAACAAAGAAGTTTTAAATTGAAGCTGTGTTGAAGATATTTCTTACTTAGTTAAGTATTATTAAATGGATCCTGAATGAACTGGATATAAAAAAGAAATAAAGGAGGGACTGACCTGGATGTCCAGCTCCCTCTGAAGGAGCAGCCACTGAAGTCTAACACTGCCGAGCTTCTCTGCGAAGGTTGTGCATTCAAAGCGGCGAGTTTGGACATTTTCTGTCGCCACATTAGCGCCAGGCTGAGACATAAAATCAATGAGTTGTTGAAGACTGCCCACAGCTATCCTTAACACCTGAAATAAAAGGCATAGAGAAGACTTTTAATGGCAAAAGAAGCATTTCCCATGAGTATGCATGTAATAACAGTATAGACGGAAAGGAAGTACTTATTTTTTCACATTGCAACCATAAACTTTAACACTTTTATTGAGATTTTAGATGCTGGTAGAGACATAGTCCAAAAGACTTGCAGCTGTAATTGATGAACTGATTCAAGGAGGGTGAGAAAAATGCTTAACACAACTTGTAAAATCTTCATTGTTTTCCTTTGACATTCAAATCTGACCTACTTTGTGTGGTTCTATCAAATAAAATCCCAATATAATGAGGTTATGTTTGTAATTAGCAACACGTATAAACCTACAGGAGTATGAATACTTTTAAAATAAGGTTCCTGTTTCTAGCTGGAAATGAACATCAAGAACCCTGTTGAAAAAAAACAGCAACCTTTTATTCAGTCACTGTTGGTACTATTAACAATCTAAATCCCATCAAACAGTAAGAAGCGTTACCCGGCAGTGCTGCAGAATTTCAGCAATCTCAGCTGCGTTTTGGGCCTTCGGGACTCTTTCCTTCTGCTGGTTCAGCTGCGCTTCCCTTTCCTTCATCCACTTCTCCAGTCTAGGCAGCATATTTAGTGGTGGCTGGGCAGGCACCAGGCGCTGATAATAATTCAGTATAAAAGTAATTTAACATAACATTAATGGATTTTAGTTTCACATAAACATCTTTCCTTTTGTATGCCTTTTTCATTAATTTGATTGATCTTATTCAAGGTCATTTGAGATTACAACATCTGGTCAGTCCTTTGGAGAACAATGTCTATTAAACTCTCCTCGGAAGAGGAAATCAGTATATCATCTGCTAAAGTGGTTTCCAGATTGCAAGACTTCAACTCAACCTTCTGATAAAAAAAAATACCAATTACAGTGATGCCAAATAGCTGTTTCCAGTCACTGGTGATGAATGGAGATAAAAATTAAGTGTGACCTTCCTTTCTCTTCCTCCCCTCTCTGATCGGCCAAAATGGCATTATTCAGACAGGTTCAAGTTTATACTCCCCACAATAAAGTAGGGCTTTCTGTCTCTAATTATTTCTGAAAACAAACAGCACTTACATGAAATTTGACCTGAATGCCTTCATGGTTCCAAATTGAAAGAAAAAACTGAGTCCTATATCTTTTTATTCTAGCTATTTGACCATTTATTCCTCAAAAAACAGAAACACTGTACCTGTAGTAGAAGCTCCTGTATCTTGGAAAGGTCAGAGGTCAGCTGGGTGCAGTTGGCCTCCAGCTGTAAGATCTGACCTCTCAGTTCAGGACAATCAACTTCCTTTAGGTGGAGAAGTCGAGTGACCTCTTTGGAAAGTGACTCTTTCTGTGCAGACGTGGCTTCCAGCTCCATGGAGAGGTCCTGAAAAAAGAAAAGTTAATATGATAGGGATACCTGATAAAATCTTTTCTTGCTTGATCTCTGGATTTCAAGCACTGCACTTTATAACATTAGAAGGATTTTTTTTCACAGCAACAAATAGTATTTTATAGTGCAGGATGGCTGAAACACATCTCTCTTAAAATGAAGATATCGTGTCTGAATCATAACTCACCACTGTAAATAAATGTGAAAAATCAATGAATGAATGAATAGACAAATGAATGAATTAATGGATGAATGAATGAATGAATGAATGAATGAATGAATGAATGAATACTTTGGCTTTATACTGAATACCGTGCCTTTTTTTTTTTCAAATTCCAAACTTACTGATGGTCGGAATGCCTGAGTTTTCAGTCCTTCATCTCTAATTCGGCAGATGTTTCTATTGTGA